CGCTATCGGCTAGTCCTTCTTTCGCCTGTTCGTCCTCCAGCTGATACAGTTCTTGGCGTGGCTGCTCAGTATTTATTTCTCCCTCTCCTATTACTGGATTTCAAGAGATTGCGTCAGTTGCTTTATTTAAAATGCCATGACAACATACTACGTCAAATTCGTAGCCTCGTAGTTCTGCTAACAGCCTATTAAATCTCATGTCGGGCTTCTTTGACGTATGATAATGTTTTAGCGGCTCATGATCTGTGACCACTGCAAATTTGTGCGCATATAAGGACGGCCGAAACTGTTTTTTTGCGAACACGATCGCCAACAGTTCCTCATCACACGTTGGGTAGCGTAATTCGCTCCCTTGGAGGCATCGTGAAGCATATTTACACGACCTATCATTCCCCAGCTCGCCTTGGTTTAATATTGTCCCAATTGCGTGATCTGACGCTTCCGTTGTAACTATAAAAGGCTTGTCTAGATCAGGTGCAATAAGTACCGGCTCACTACATAATGCGTCAACTAGTGTTCTGAAAGCTTGCTCCTGCTGCTCTTCCCATTTGAACTCTATTCCTTTTCTCAAGAGTTTAAAGAGTGGCTGAGCAGTTTTTGCATAATTCTGGATAAATCGTCTATAATATCTGACAAATCCAAGAAATTGTTTAATTTCTTTTACATTTGTAGGTCTCGGGTATTTCTTCGCTGCTTTGGTTATTTTGGATCTGTTTTTATCTGTCCGTTTCCTACTACGTGTCCCTGTACTTTCACCTCACGTTTTAAAAATTGGCATTTTCGGCTCAATTGTTAAGTTTGCTTCCAAAAGCCGCTTTACAAGTCTTATAAAACGCCTCCCGTGCTTTTCGAGGTTCGGAGCAAACACCATGATGTCATCGAAGAACACTCGGATTTCATGCCCTTGTAGACCCGCCAACATGAGTGACATCGCTCTTAAAAATGTATTGGGTTAGTCCTTACACCCCATTGGCATTCTCTTACACTGATAATGACTGTCTGACCCAGAAAATGCTGTTTTGTGTGCGTGATCTTCGTAAATTTCTATTTAAAAAAATTTCTGTTTCAAATTGACTACTGTTATGTATCGAGCCAAAGCTAAATGCTCGAGTGTATCGCTTTGGAATGGTAAGGGATGGCAGCTTTTTACAGTAATTTCGTTGAGCTGCCTAAAATCAGTTACCACGTGCCAACGCTTCTCCCCGTCCTGCCCCGCATGCTTGAGTACAACCCACATGTTAGAATTGTACGGCAATTTCGAAGGCTCGACGACTCCTTGCTTGAGCAATTTCTTTATCTCTTTTTTCACCTGTTTCCTTAGTGTTGGTGGGTACCTATATTTCTTCGCCGTCACGCCCTTGTCCGTCGTAGGTATGATGCGGTGTTTTAATATATGAGTTGCTTCCAGTGGTTCTCCATCTAGGCCAAATACAAATGGATTTTACCCTGTGAGTTTCCGGATGTGCAATTTTTATTTCCTGTTGCAGCTTGAAACATCAATAAGCTGCATTATGTTATCGATTATCGCTATTTTTCCTTTATCCGACAAACTATTTAAATTGTCAATGTTCTGAAAATCACCATTGTTCCCGCCGCTTGTACGATTATTTGTAACGCTATATTCAACTTTGTTCATTTTTCTTTTTCCTTAGCCATTTGCCTTAAAAAGCCTCATCATTGCCTCATTCATGCCCCGAGCTTTGTCCCCTTCGACGCTTAATGGATCGGCCTCTCGCACCACCTTGCATTCTTATAACTCAATTTCCGATACAGATATGCTTATTGTTTCTTTTAGTGTGTTCACGCCCTCAGCATAAACTTTTCCACCATTATTTGTGGCTATAAGATTTCCGAATAAAACTCCTTCTCTCATTCTTTGCAAAGGAACCCACCCTACTTTTACATTTTCTCTATGTATCCCGACACGGGCATATATAACTTACCTTGACCTCGCAAGAATCTCGAGCATCTCTGGCTTGATTAAATTAATTTTCATTTCCCCTCATTCAAAAATATTTTCTGCTGCACTTATGCGACCTTGATATAATTTAAAAATGTCCCATCTAATTATTCCTTCCTCATTTATCGGGAAGTCGCGTGGGACCATATGCAACCTACACATAAGGCCATCTAGTGGTATTTCAACTACACCTAAAGTGCTACGCTCTGCATGCGTAACACCCACAATCCTTACTCGGTTCCTTACGTCAAAGAATGCATTCGGAAGAACACTGTCTTCCTTTATAATGGAAATTTCAGCTCCTGTATCTGCAAACAATTTTGATTTCCCACCTCTCAGTTGAGTACTTGTCATAAATACCGAAAGGGGTGTCCTACACTGAGAGATACTTTCCATTTACGTGCACAGTGTACGTTTGGCGTTTATCCGCGTGGTGGCGTGTTGACACCCAACTAGTTGAGTGATTACCAAGCGCTCACTAAGCTTTCAGAGGAACAAATTTCGTTCACTCACAAATCTCAGTGAACGCACTCGACGGGTCGTACGAGTGTCTAACCGACACTGAGAACATCATACGTATATATGTACGTACACGCGATAGACATTGCTGATTTTGAAGGACAGTATTTCTTTGCGAAAGGGTTGTTACTTGAGCAGGAAAAGTTGATTCATATATTACAAATATATTACAATAAATTTCATAAATAACTCGTTAAAAGCCTTAAATTTTGGTGTTTCAAATAAAAACGTGTCGTTGTCAATTGATATGACTTATGTCAAAAAATATCAAAAATAAAAAATGTCATCAGCAGAATCACTGTTTTTTGATAGAAATTTTGGTTTGATTGCAGGTAATAAAGTGCCTCATCCTGATAATGCATGGTAATTGTATATATTTTTACGAAATATCATCCACATTTTCAACATCTCCTACAATAACAAAGACCGATCTTTTTCAGTTAGAGTTTTATACAAGTCAACACCATAAATTTTATTTAAATTTGTAAGACCATTTAAAACCAAAATTTGATCTACTAATTCATTATATTCGTATAATATTACGAAATGGTCCTCCGATAAAAATTTCTGGATTGAGATTCGAATCCATGCACCAAGAGCTAAAAGCAATTGTACAAGCTTAAAGTTCTAGAATAAATATTTTAAAAACTATTGCTACTAGGTATCTCTTAAAATTAATGAATTGTTCTTTTATATCATACAAAAAAATGAATATCAAATTCGGTACTGTCATGTCCAATAATGTTGTTTCTTTTTTTTTCCCTCTTTTTAAAGACAAATGTTCTTTAACTAAAGTACTTATTAATGATGTAACATATAAATTAGGAACTGTAACAGTAGCTTGTATCGGAGAAAATAATCCTAAATTTAGAGAAGTGCAAGGAATTTGCTAAGTAGAAGATGAAATATAGTGTAAATTTCATTTTTAAAGTTTAATTGATCGTGAAAAGTTTGCTTCAGGCCTTCTGTAATAAGAGACTGTATTAAGCTAGCTTAAAGAGTGCTATCTTTTATTGGATTCAGCACTGGATTGGATTCAGCACGATCTAAACTTTGAAAATATACCATTTCTCGTACATTCCGTGAAGGACCCTCCCTAAAAAATTACGTAGCGGATTTTTGGCTTAATTAATTATTATTTATTGTTTTTTCTACTCGCACACCACTTGAGTAATTTTCACCAGCACTCTCCACCACCTCTGTGAGAAGGGTGTTGATCCTTACGCTGACTTATAAACTCTTACTCTATGTACTATTATCCAACTCCGAATGTATTATCTCTGCCCTAAATTTACAAAAAATGTACTTTTACAAATAATCTGTAGTATGTCAAGATGTTGCAACAAAACATGGAATTGTAGCATTGTTTAATTATTTTAATTTTTGCTTTACATTTTATTATGAAAAAATGATCAAAATCTATGTACTGTAAATAATTTCAATTCTGTTTTGGCATGAAGTAAGTTAATGTGGTCTTTGTTTTTTATTTTTTGGTATCATAAGATAAAAAACATTATTTGTCATAACTTGTAGGTTATAATCTTGTAATTGATGTCTGTATGACAGATGACGCTAAATATTGTAAAAAACTTATTTCTCCTTTTATTATATACTGATAATGAGAATTTTTCATACATTTATGACAGAAAAAATTCTTTTCATAAAATTTAATTCTAGTAAGTCCACGAAAAATTGGACCAGTTGCAGTTGGTTGGTTAACAGTAACTGTATTATACAGTTATCATTACAAATAAATATACTGTTTCAAATTTTTAGTATTCCTTTTTATATATAACGTTAATTTATAATGCTCTCAAGGAGGCTTCCTTGCCTTGATGTCACCAAATGAGATGTATGTCATCAAATAGTTAAGATTATGCCGAATCTGACGGTGCCTTTATTTTGACACTTTATCGAACAAAATCTGGACAAATTAATGCTTGAAGTTCGCTCTTTCAACAAGAGCAGTTATAGTAGAAATACTAAAAATAACAATTCGTAACCTCAATTTAAAGTGTCAGGTATTGCGAGTATACACGTATTGTAGATTTGAACTTCCGTCTTGAGAAATATGGGTAAACAGACTAGAAATTGAAGTAATTTGCAAGAAAGGCAAGAGTCAGCTTATTTTTTCTGCTACGAGAAAGTCAGTAAAGCCGCCATTTTGCTTGGCAGGAGCAGGTGCAATGCAAATTAAAATATTATTCAAGTTAAATCGACGGCTTACATTTTCAACTTTATTAACACCATTACATTGATATAATTTAAAAACTTTTGAGTTATATTCAATGCCTACGAAAATTAAATATTAAACTTGAGTTAACAAGGTCAGCTATATTAAATTTCACAAATTGTCACATTTTAAAAGAAATATAACAGTTATATTTATGTTGGTATCCCTCCCAACTACTTCAGTTTTTTATCTATCTCAATTCTCTCTCAATCTCTCTCATGATACATTTTCTGTTAGTACATTATTTCTTGCTCCTAATGTAATAATAATCAATTCTATTATTTTCAGTTAAAACTAAGAAATGTCTAAAAGTCTTAATAGACGTTTTTATAGACTCAATAGCAATCAAGAGTTGCTGAACGAAGAGGATACTGGTGTTGACTATCAAAATGAAAGCAGATGGTGTTTTGAAGTGGCTTGGGAAGCAGCAAACAAAGGTCTTGTAATAAAATTATTGTTTTCTTACTTATTTTGAAATAAAATTTAAAATTTCTCAATAGCTCAAGTATAACCGTAAATATAGGTAAGGTAATGCTTGAGAGCAGAGAGATCACCACAAAAGTAGTACTAAATATGACAAATTAAATAGTGCAGCCAATTTTCAGTGTTTATGATTATTAATTGCTCATGACGACTTTTTGTAATTGTGGCATGCAGGATATAAGAACTTAATGTTTTTTCAAAACAGTTCCAGTAATTTACTGAAGATGGCATTGTAACAGTTATGCATAGATACTAAGTTACAATTCATTGTTTTCTTATACTACTGATACTTAACGAGAAGTAGAAGAGGTAATAAAGCATACACAAATAACTGCGCTATTATTCGTTAGTTATCATGTTGCTATATGCCATGATAGTTTTATCCCTTAATTTACGAAGTATAAACAATTTAACAACTTATAGCAAGCACTCGTTTGACGTTATTGGATATTTCACAAAAAGCAATACTGCTAATTTATTTCTACTAATTAGTTTTTATTACGTTCTATTAAATAAAAGAACATACTAGTTAATCAATAATATAAGAAGTCCAATGACAGTTGGTTAGTAATTAAAATAACGTCCAATGGTGGTACCGTCAAATTTTGTATTTATTAAAAAACAAAACGACGTTTCGGCCGTTTGGACAATGTCCCGGCCCTCATCAGGTACAAAAATCTATGAGTGATAAAAAATTCTTTACAATACGAATTTTGATAAAAAACAATAAACGCAAATTAAGTAAAGTGTATAATATACCTCTGACTCTTACGAAAGGGACGTAAAATCATAATGTAGTCAGAGTTTCAACTTTTGTTGCTTTTATACCCTGCACATATACAAATAACACAATATACGCACACAATACAATCAAACAAGAATCGCAAGCAGTTCTTTGTAAGACATACGTAAACAGATCATGTTTTCCTATTACCATAAATGAAAGGGGCCCTCAAATCATGTACATAGAGTTAGCCTTCTTTCTTAATTAACGAGAGACTTGTAACAATTTTTTAAATTTTCTGTATCTTGTTGTCTATGAATATTATTAATGAAATAATGCATATTTAACATTTCGGAAGACAGGTGCTTGTTATAATTTTGTTCCTTGTCTAAAATTATTATTTTATCAAAATTGAAGTTGTGTGTAAATTCAATGCTATGTTGTGATAGTATAGATGTATCCTTTTATTTCTCTCTATCTCTTTTATGTTCTGCCATTTTTAATTTTAAAGCTCTCGATGTTTGACCAACATAACAGCAGTTGCAATTTACACATGGTATGTGGTAAACGACATTATTTTTATCGAGTGGCTCGGTTACATTTTTTCCAAGTGAAAAGATCGAATTCAATTTATTGTTTAAACTGTATACAAGACCAATGTGAAGCTTTTTACAAAAATATTTAATAGGACCGTGCAAGTGGGGAGTATTCTTAGTTGCACAATTAATTACTCTATTAACAAATGTCGTTGAACAGTGCAGCAAAATCCATTACTATGTAATTTTTCCTCAGCTTTACGATGGTGCTATTTATTTTTACGTACATTCAATATAACTTACCGCAAATAGCGTTGTTTTTAATTTCTTAAATGTTGTGCCGAAATTCAAATTTTAAGCTACATATTGTATCGTTATAAAGGACCACCACTTTTTCCTGTTTAAATTGCTCTGGCGCTCTGATTAGCTGTAAATTCACCATAATTACCTAGATATGGTGGTGCCACTGTGTATTCGATGTAAAAATAGTAAGTGGTGCCCTCAGCTTGTGCTTATATCTCGGGGAACGCCAGTGGCATCATACCTATGTAGTTCATAGATATCTTTGAACATCCTAAAAGTTAAGCATTTTATGTTAAGACATATGAAGCGTAAAAGTTATAGGAAATTCAATTACAAGTAAGTACCTTTTTCATCCCATGTAAATCAAAGCAGGTGTTTTCGTATTATAGTTGTTGGAAATATAAAGAGCCTATATATCGTATATAGCCTATTCAAACGGTGCATCTGCTCGATGTTTTGCTCTCAGTGTTGCTACATTTATGGTTAAGCAGATGAAACACACAGTTCTTGCCTGAGTTCATCAAACTTTTAACGGCTGTAATGACAGAATGCCGGCACTGATTAACACGGGATGAAAAGTCACTTACTAATGATTCAATTCCCTATATGTTTTACGCTTTATGTATCACTATTAAATGCTTAATTTTTTAGATATTTAAAGATTTCTACAAACTACGTGCATTTGATGCCCTGGTGGCCCCCTGTGTTACATATACCATGGGCGCTGGTGCATATCGTTTTATCCCCCTCCAGATGTATTCTCGGAGCGAATAGTCTAAGGTGATGTATATAAATGAGAGTATAACTATTAACACAAAGCGCCTATAATGGCAAAGTACGTGCGCGAGCTGTCACTCAGAAGTTCCAGACGTACTACACACTGCTCAAAGCTTTAAGAGTATTTCTGCAAACGCTCTAGTAGGCGTATTGTGTAACTGTTACGGTCAAAAGCACGAGACCATACTGAAATATATGCTTCAACACAGGTTACGTTATAGAACCATAAACCACTTGAAGAGACTCTAGGGGATTCACAAGAACGATACGAATACTTGTTCTTCTCCGTTCGAATCAAAATCATTCTCATTATCTTTGAAAATTCTGTTACCTATTTGACTATATTAGAACACTCGTATATATCTGGGTAGTGCTAGTTTTCCTTGAATCTATAGTCTTGCGTATACGAAAGTTCTTGCAATGCATCTGGATTCTTAATTTATCTCTCGACGAGTCTTCGACAGTTGAAATAGTATCACTCTAGGAGTGTTTGGACACCACCCCCACCACCGCTGTTTGCCATATTCAATTAAACGGTGCGCGCCCCGTTTTAAACTCGGCAAATCTTTTTTCTTTTTTTTCCACACATTAACGAAAAACATTATTTCCTCGTGCTTAGTTGGTGTATCCATAAACAATCATTTATCTTATGAATCCCTCAATTCCAATATAATGTATAGATTTAAGCATTTTCTATTAATGGAGAAAATACAAAACAAAATTTTATTTTTATACGCATTTGACCCTTTTTGACCTTTCATGCTTCACAAAAACTTAACCTTACCATAAAACGTATTACAACAATCACGGTTACTTCAACAAGATTAAATGAAGATAAATCTGTTTATTTGAAAGTCAAAAATGACTGGCTAGTCTGTTAGCAATTGTAAGAGCAGTATCGCTAAAAATATAAAAATGTGCTACTTGCCTGTAAATAAAGACCTCACGGCAGTTTGCATAAAACAAATAAAAAAAAAACTGGGAACCAACATCAAATTCAACAATATGCAAAGTAAAGTTTTTTTTGAAAACTTAGTTAATGTTAATGCACTTAGCTTGGCAATGAAAGTAAATGTTTACAGTGTTTTTTAACACCACTCCACTGCTAGCATGTGGTTAAAGCAAAGAGTTGACAGCAAAAAAAATTGAAGCAAAATGCTATACCAACTGTATTCTGACAAAACGTCAAACAGATGCAACGTCAATACATAAGTAGGTATTTATATGTTCTTGGTGTTTAAAAGTTTTATAAACTTATTTTCATAATTAAAAAAGAAATTTTTATTTTTTTTCTCAATAGCTAGTTCCCAAGACGGCCAAGGCAAAAAGTACAAATGTACTGAGGTGCAGAAAAATCAATCTATTGATAATGTCACCAAAAATAGTGAAATGTTTGGCTCACAATGTTCAATTGAAAAATCACTGATCAATACAGATCAAGTTTCAACTGTTCCGAGTCAAACTGATGAGATAGGTAACTAGAAAAACGTCAATATAATAGATCTATGAGTGATTGCGATGCCCTCAACAAACTTTCATCTTCACTCAGTATAAAATTCTTGTATTGTAAATGAAAAAATATTAGGCCATGTCAGTTCCACAAATTTTTGTACTGTTTTTCAGGTGATAAATTATCTTCTCTTAGTTGTAATATTACAATTAAAGAAGGTTGATGTGGCTGAAGCAAGCAATATTTTAGTAGGTGTCAGGTTTCTTTTGATAAATGACTCTTGCAGATCCAGTCGAGTTGTTTGTGTCCATAAATCCGTAGTCCTAAAGCTTATAAGTAATAAACAAAGTTTCTCTATGCCTGGTAAAAATATTAAATAACTAATTTCAATTATTTACTACACCTATTTTTATTCACTGTTTCGAAATAAATCCAGATACAGCAAATGATGATTTCGACCAAAATAGTCATCAAAATAGTGACCAAAATAGTGACGATGAAGTTGTTGAAAAGATGGAAAAGGAGATTTCATTAATGGCTAATGATTATTACAGGATGGAAGTTAGTACACGTGATGGCTATCAGAAAAAATTAAAAAAGCTAGAAGCTTTTGACTGATCGAGAAGACCTAATGGAATTCTGAAAAAAAAGATTAAAATATTCAGAATGAAATTAAGACAAATTCCAGTAAAAGTAGGTAAATGTACTGTAAAAAATTATGAAGTTCTAGATTTTCATGAATGCATAAAAAAATATTAAATGATGATCAGTTAAAGGCTTTTACTAAAACTTATGCTGAAATGCCTGTATGGTGTGATAGAACTTTAGTAACAGCATATCAGTTGAAATTTGCTTGTGGTATTTCGGAATGTTAAGAGTTATTAAGACAAAGTATACTGCTGCCCTCATTATGAATCCTCAGTTGTAGACTAGAAGGATGGCAGTTTGAGTCGGGCCCATAAAAAATATGTTTCAATTTTTGTCCATAAAAGTATCGCAATTCAAAAACTCTATTGACAAAGACTGCATTCTTGTTTTGGATTAAATAAGCATCTCACCTTGCGAAAGATATCATACAAATACTGGTTCTTTTAAAGGGAAATTTCCACTTCCAGAATACGATCTTTATGAGCTAGCCAATCATACCTTAGTTTTTACGTTTGC